TTGTTAGCATATAGGTGTTCATATTAGTCTCTAATAATTCTTTTTATTTCTGTGGAGTCTGTCATGATTTTTCCTTTTTTGTTTTTGGTTCAGTTGATGTGTTGATTCTCTTTCTCTCTTAATAAGTTTGGCTAGAGGCTTATCCATTTTGTTTATTTTCTCAACAAACCAGCTCTTGGTTTCATTGTTTTTTTTCTATTGTTTTATTCTTCTCTATTTTGTTTATTTCTTCTCTGAACTTTATTATGTCCCTCTTTCTGCTGACTTTAGGCCTCATTTGTTCTTCTTTTTCTAATTTTGATAATTGTGATATTAGACTATTCATTTGGGATTATTCTCCCTTCTTTAAGTATGCCTCTTAAGACTGCTTTCACTACATCCCACAGAAGTTGGGGCTTTGTGTTGTTGTTATCATTTGTTTTCATATATTCCTTGATCTCTATTTTAATTTGCTCGTTGATCTATTGATCATTTAGGAGTATTTGTTAAGGCTCCTTGTGTTTGTGAACCATTTTGTTTTCTTTGGACAATTTATTTCTAGTTTTATATCTTTGTGGTCTGAGAAGTTGGTTGGTAGAGTTTTAATCTTTGGATTTTACTGAGACTCTTTTTGTCACCCAGTATGTGGTCTATTCTGGGGAATGTTCCATGGGCACTTGAGAAGAATGTGTATCCTGTTGCTTTTGGATGTAGAGTTCTATAGATGTCTATTAGATCCATCTGTTCTAGTGTGTTGTTCAGTGCCTCCGTGTTCTTACTCTTTTTCTATCTAGTGGATCTATCCTTTGGAGTGACTGGAGTGTTGAAGTCTCCTAAAATGAATTCACTGACAGATTACTGGAATTAAAGGTGGCGGCATGAGAGGAGAGACAGAGGCTTCCTCGTAAAACTGGATACAAGTAGAAAATATAGTTGGCACAAGTAATCCTGAGAGAGCAACAGGAAAGAGGACTGCACCAGACTTCATAAACCTGAAGAAAAGAAAAGACCTCACCGAATGCGGTAATGTACCAGAGCTGTGGCTCCGTGGGACCCGAGCCCTTCCCCCATCCCAGCTCACTGGCGGGAGGAAGAAAAACAGAGCAGGGAGGGAGTGGAAGGCTTCGGACTACGGAATACCTAGTTCCGGAGATCTGCTCTGGGAACACAAACCTACATTTCATGGTTCTTTCAGGAGACTCGCATGACTACTGGGTTGGAAAGTTAATACAGTCAGAGTTCCTGGGGAGACTGGAATTCCGGCTGCTTGTGGAAAGCAGGGATCCATATCTGGCTGCTCTGGGACAAAAACTTACACCTGTGTGACCGGCCAACTGGCTCAGCCAGTGGAGACAGGCACAGCAGATGGAGGCAGGGAACCACTCTTTCCTCCCCCCAGGTA